GAAGGCGACGTGGTGAAAGAAGGAATCCACAGTTTTTTGTTGAAAGACATGTTCATCACCCTGTTGGAGTTATGGTTTGAGGTGCTATAGCTTATGGTTCCAGGTAACCTTTAATCTTCATCAGAGGTAACATGAACGCGCAGCGTTATATCCACGAAGTTCTAGAACCCCATATTTTACCCTATCTTGACACCCTGGCAGATCCAACTTTCCAACATGATAATGCCCGACCACATGTTGCAAGAGTCACAATAGACTTCTTTCAACATAATGATGTCACACTGTTACCATGGCGACCAAGATCTCCCGACTTATCCCCAATTGAGCACGTGTGGGATATGATGGGTAGGAGATGGCTCAATTTGCAACGTCCTCCTCAGACTTTAGAAGCACTTTGAGAGGAGTAGGTGGTTGCCTGGAATGAGATACCACACGAGGACATTGACCACCTGATCAGAAGCATGCCTAGGCGCGTTGGAGAATGCGTAGCACATCAGGGTGCATCCACACATTATTGAAGGTCAAAGGGCTTTAAAGCGGTGCAATCATTTTGAAATTTTTATCATTTACTTATTATGCTTCATTAAGTACTTATACAAAATTCCATTAAAATAAAACCATTTAAACTGGGTGTTCGGATTTATATGTCACTTAGTATACTTACACATCTCGCCGTTTGGTGCTTATCACCCCTGACTGCTGACTACTTGACAAAAAGGGGAACGTTTTGCAAGAGCTCTCATACCAAGGGAAGCAAAAATACGATAGACTGATTTTTACTTTTGCTTTAAAATGCGTCATTCAACAATTTAATTTCAAACCGGTGGAGTAGTATTGAGGATTTCTAATCGGGTATCTCTTCTACCATTAAATAATTGAAAGAGTTTGTCTACTGACTTAGAAATCAATTAAGGCATGACTTTGGGGCAGGCATTATTGACTAATACTGAACGACTAATATTAGATCATTGATATAAATAAATACTTATTTTTTCAATGTAGAAGTACCCTATTTCATGAGTATCTATCTTGCTTTGATACCTACCGAAGTGAACAGCTGATCAGCATATGACAATTTTATGTTAGTCTGCAACGTTGGATAGAATGAATCGGGTGTAAATCTAGCTAAAATTTGTTTGTAGAGTTTTGTTTCTTTGTATGTAAATGAACCTTTCTAAATAAAAGAGCTTTCAGCAAATACAAAATTAATATGTAGCGTACCAAAAACCAAAACAAAATATGGCTCTGTCTACCTGTCATTGACGGAACCGTCAGAATTATGTGTCCTTTGCCGATATGGGGAATTTCGAAATATTACTGGATAACCAGCTGTCATTCTACCATGATGGAAATTCGTGAAATAGGATATATCTTAGCTGGACATTTCTTTAATTCCCACACCACTGGGAAGCATTGTAATCGCGAAAAATTCTTTTTTAGATGCTATATGACATGTACATAACCAAAAACCATATCACTCATTTTCATCGGTCTGTCTGTCCGCTAATTCTTGACCAGTCAATAACTGGGTACCGCTCGCAGACATGAAATTTTCACAAGAGTTTTCCGCCCTGCCAAAGACTTAAAACATATTTTTTTAAGTCGATCCACTGCTGGCAAAGCTAGAGGCAAAAAACAAACAAATAAAAACATTGGAGGAGGGGCAAGTAGTGTGGGTTGCCTATTTTCAGGGGGTTTCGTCAAGCCGTTTGAGCTCAGATGAGGTAACACAGCTTCATTCTCCCTTTCCCTCTTTCCTATCTCTCCTTTTTTTGAAATTCATTCTTCTATCAGTCAAAGTCTGGCTCATCGGTACTACGCTGTCAAGGTGAGCGTTTTTATTAGTAGATTGAATTACGTATGGTTTAGCAACAAATTATCAAAATGTATACAGTATGCTGTATCAATCTTTTTCTTTTGGAATGAGTTATTAAATGTGGAACATATATTGACAAACTTTGAGGAGCACTATTCGTAAGTTTGATTATAATATGGTAATTCTATGGTCCGATGTTTTCTTTCACAATATTCTGAGGTTGATATTACGTAGCTACAAGAAAGTTTTAAAGATAGACTAACAGATCTAAAAATACTATTTTTTTGCTAATACAAATATGAAGCTTAGACAAGAGACTATGTGCTCGTATACAGGGTGTTCCACGGAGTACTGCAGCGATCGATTACTCGAATAGTTAATATTAGACAGTTATGAAAATTTAAGGTTGTAGGATTTCTAAATGACTGGTGACTCTTCCGATAAAATGAAACCCTATGTATATTATTTGTTCTTTAGGCTAACGAATCTAAACACATTTCATGTCTGTATCAATGTAAAAAAGGTCTAACAGTTTATCGCGTGTTTTTGGCTTTGCTATATGATTTTATCCATTTCCGAATACTGGGGTACCCACTTTAGTAGGTTTATTCCACACTTAAATGACGAATTGTACAGGGTGGTCAAAGGGGAGAAACAAAGTTAGTTCGTGTTTTATGCGACTTTTACCATGAGAAGATCCCAGTTGGCCATTGCGGAAATCTGGCAAACTGCTATAGGACAGCATCACGCCGTCGCCGTATCATGTCGAATCAACAAGTTCAATCACAATTCGTCTACCAAAGGTCAGTCGTTCCTACAACTGTAGAACGCCTTTATGACCTCCTTGATTTTTATAGTCTTTTCTCTCCTTAAGAAATTCTGAGGTATTTCTAAATTTCTACTGTTCCATGTCAGATGTCAGATGTCATAAAACAGATAATATAATTCAAAAGTATCAACAATTTGATGCATATAGATATTTGCAACATAACCTCAAGATAGAGCGCTGATACGGAACACCAGAAACTTATATCTGAAGGACAGAAAAAACTGTGAAAATGAAGCAGACCCTAGCAAATGTAGGAACGATTGACGATACGGCCCAAAATGACGGCGTAGTGTTAGCGTAATGATACTTAACGGTAGAAACATCTACATTACTTACGTTTGTGCAGGTCTTTGCACATTATGTAAGAAATTGGAATTCTCTAACATACCAATTATCTGCAAACACTACCACGTTCAATAAATAACACTAAATATACGAATTTAATACGATGCAATTATAAATTAAGGGGTTTTGGATTAGAAGAAATTACATTTTTGTTTCTTTGAAACCTAGTATTACTTTTTTTGACCACTTGGCACTATTTGTAATCTAAATCTGAAATACCCAACTAACAATTAGCACTCCTATTAGAGTTGCAAGAATGATTATACAGTATTCCTTAAAAAGCATTGTATACTGTCAGAACATTGGGAAAACCCTCTTAGAACAGCTATACAAGCGGAATGTTTACACCTAATAGGACACTTCAGTCATTTAAGAGGTTGTATAAGGGCTGCAGGTAATAGTTATACAACAAAAGTGTAAGCCCCTTGCAGCCGCTATAGGACATTTGCGTCAGTGCAAGATTCAGTTTTTGTCAACTATACAACTATTCTGTTACGTGATTCTACTTTATTGCAACCAAACTATTTCTTATGTATTGTATAGACGAAGTGAAGGATATATAACTAACACATTACAGTCATCTTGTTTACTTACATATCGGCCATTGTGAATTTCATACACAGGTATATGATAAACCTCTACACTGTGATATAGGGCTATTGAATTACTTGCGCGACAAATTTTATTGTGATTAACGTGCAAATTAGTTACGCAATTTCTACGGGCTTCGTATTTGATTCATATTTTGACAATGATCAAAAGTGTCTAGATTTGTAAGATGGAAAACTGAACTTATCTGCGTTAAATCTTCCACAAATCCTATACTTAGCAACAATTACACTAATTTCTATCACTTTATATCCGTAATTTCGAACTGAAACATAATTATTTAATATTAAATAGAGGAATTAATGTTTGCCCAATATGGCGGGTGGTTGTGTATAATCATGGCATCGTCCATGTTGTCTTTAGGTTATTAGAATATTTTGGTGTTGCCTGCAGATGTTATACAACAATTTGACAAATGTCTGAAATGAAATACCGACAGAGTCGAATGATTTACCCAGAATTTGTACCAGATCTATATCTTCTGTTTGAACAGTTGATAAAACCTTTTGAACCAATATGCATGGGTTGTTTGTCTTAAAACATTGGTTATGGCATTTTAACAAAAATATGACAGCAGCAAGTTAGGCTATGGTGAAGTTGTATACCAACATATTTAGCATATGCACAGCCTTTAACATTTACTAAACAACAGTTGTATAAGTGCTTGCGTTGGGAGCAATTTGTCGGCTAAAGTAGTAAATTGCACAGCAAAACAACAAGGCTCGGGTTTGTTTTATAAACGTTACCATGGATGCCACAACACAACCATTTTGACTAACGTGCAAATATGCCGTATAAAATAGTTGTATAAACGTTTATGCAACAGTTAAAAATTTGCCCTATAAGGTGTTGTATAACTATGCTATAAGAATATTTTAAACACCTCATTTTAGAGCAAATATGTTGCAGAAAGCAAATTTGCATTCCACACAACATTAAGCCAGCATTTTGGTGTTCAGGCAACAACAAAAGAGATTTTTTATGGCTGAACGGTTCTTTTACCAAAAGTTTATACCACTACTTTGCTAGTTGAGTACAGTCTTCTAATGTATTACGAGAAAGCCGTTACAAATATTGCAGAATAAAAAAATATAAATTCTTTGGCCTGCATTTGGCATTTTTTGCCCAGCATACGAGATATCTCAAAAACGGTTAGATTCTACATAAAGTAAGCGCCACCATTTTGAAAATATTCAAGCCAAATTGTTCCATCAGTTATACCACCAAATTATCGTAACAGTATCACATCAATTTTTCCAGTAGTGAATCGTTGCAGTACTACATGGTACAGTCAAAGTTGTTTTAATACTTGCTGAGCTTTCTCCCATTTTGAATGCTTAAATTCTGTGCCGGGTTCTCATAGCGAGTTCGCACTCCACCACTCCCAAGGAAACATCCTTATTCTGATTGCAGAATACAAAGCTTCTATATTACATATCATACAGAGTGTATAAATAATAAGGAGACCAGTGTATAACATAAATCGTTCGCCATATTTCGTATAGCATGTGTCAAGTTGAGAGTATCACAGAGTCAATTTGGAGGTTGTCACAGCGAGACCGTGCGAGCCCGAACACACGTTAATACCGCAGTAATACCTGACTAAAGGTCCATACCCATTGTTCCGTGTCATACTAGGATTGTATCCGGTCCGACCAGTATCCTTTGCGTGTTATCATATGAGGCAATGCCCACTACACCAGAGCGTGTTCTGCGCATAGCGTATTTTGCTGGTGAGGAATAGGTTCTGACATTTTTCCTCATCAGCATGCTACCGAGTTACTAATCACGGTTTAAGATTATTTTTTAATTATAAAGTATCAAAAATTGATCGAGTCCGTCAATCAACTGAAACGACAGAGCTGTCAACGGTACGGTAGCAACATTCAAAAGTCGCTGCGTGTGAGTGCTTGTTGAGAATCAACAGCTCTAGCCAAATTCGTCGACAGATCCTCCATACAACATCTGTCCCAAAATGGGCTGGATCATATCTCCAACCGTTGCATGTACCACTATGCGCTGTTACCCGACCCTGATCTCTTTCTCATTTCTAGCTGACCAATGAGATCTAGTGGAGAATATACACTAGAACTGTCAAAGTCAGGCAGTTGCACTGAAACCCGGCTCTTACTATACGTAACATGATGACTAAGATCCATAGTAGGATCCTGGTATGATACTAGTATGATACAGCATAATGGATAAGGACCTTAACACACTAGGCAAGAAATAGCTCAAACGTATTTGGGAAGTATATAAAAGATCATGAGACATGTCTCTTTGCATCGCTGCCTCGCTCAGGCTCCCAATTGGTTGTGTGTAGTGAAAAGCAACAGAGCTTCATTTCTTCTCTTTTCGTTTCCCTTTTTCTCAAATTACCTATTCTATTATTTAAACATACTTTCGCGCTACTTCTTGCATACCAGATGTATTAACCAAGTATTGAGCAATTGGCAACCTGTGTTTGGGCTCTAAACTTTCCGTCTTTATCTATTTCCGTCTTCTTCGTCCCGCCTTTTCCGTCGTAGATGGTTGAGAAGCGATCCAGTCCAAGGCCTTCTGGATATTTGGAGGGATCGGTGGTGGTGTGGGTAGATGCGCCCCTTGTGGTTGGAACCCACCCTCGTCGTCTGCTACGTAGGTTAAAGATATCTGGTTGCCTTCCTTGTCTGTGTAGGAGTAGGATCCTTGAGCTACGATCACTTCTGGGTTTTCGGCGTCGCTGGTTTTCTTGATGGTGCCTGTTTCGTCGGCCTTGATCCCGTTCTCTGTTTCATAGCTGAAAAGATAACCATCAGCAAGGTTACTATCATATATAAAATGGAATGTTCCATTTTTTATTTCCATATTTGTATGGAGAAGAAGGACAAAACATACGGCACCGGGTGTTTCTAATTCGACCCTCACCATTGGGATCTGGGAAATGGTAAGAGATACGAAATCGTTTATATGGAGGCAAATTTGCGTATTTAAGTTGAAAAATCTGTTTTTTCTGTCAACCTCTGGATGTACGTTGAATATCGAAACTTCCTAGGTGGCATTTTATTAGTGATCTCAATACGAAACTTTGCCTCCATTTAACGTTCCTGGACAATTGCAAGGTACTTCTGATCTATTTCGTTCAACTTCTTGTCTTATTGAGTACTGTCCCAGTCTAAGAATCGCTAACAATTGTATACCTAACAACATCATTGAAAAATGCAAAATGTTGGAAACAAATCAAATTTTTTTGATAGAGACTGAGGGCCAACCGAAACTTTAATCTGACTAGACTAAACTGAAATTTAATTTTGTCTACTCAAACTTTGAATCTGAAAGTCACTAGAAAAGGTACTTCCTTTCGCATTATAAGTAGTAAGTTCTCTGAAAATAAGCTCAGTACGCCAAAAAAAGAACTATGAATATCAAATTCATTAAAGTACTTACATATCTTTTTATTGTATAAATATTCTGGAAATGATATAATAGCAAGAATTTTTATACAGGGTAGCGCATGGAAAACGAAGCAGGTTTATTTACTGGCAGCTCAGTTTTTTTTTGGAAAAACGCTCAGACCCGTCGATTTTGTTTTCGAGGGGGACACAAGTTTGGCAAAAAATCACGTTAACACATGCAGCCCCCTGGGCCCAACCCTAAAATCTTAAATGGAAAGGGGGGTCGAGTGATACCTTATTTTAAAGGTCTTTCAATTCCCTTTATAATGAATACATGAGCTTCAGTTCAGTAGTTTTGAAGATGTATTGATTTAAATCTTAAAGTAGACTTTATTAGGTACATCAGATTACTTTTTACTACTTTCAGAAGAAATTTGACTAATTTACAATTTTGTGAAGATATGAATGAACGAATTATAAACGATGAACATTTTCTATTCAGCACTTGCTTTTCCGACGAATGTTCCTTTTTCTTAAATGGCGTAGTAAATCGTCATAACTGCCGATATTGGTCCGATTCTAATCCCAGAATTTATCATGAGGTTCAGACACAGCAGCCACGAAAATTAAATGTTTGGGCTGGTATTTTTTGCGATCATTTAATTGGTCCTTTTTTCATATCTGGAAATTTGACCGGTGAAATGTATTTGGAATTAGTAGAAGACGCCATAGATCCTGCATTAACAGCCATAATTGAAAATCAGAATGATCGGCGGTGGATTGCGAATAGGTTGATGTTCCAACAGGATGGTGCCCACCACATACGACAATATTTAGATCAGACGTCTCCAGATCGATGGATTGGTAGAAGAGGTGCCATTGAATAGCCCCCAAGATCGCCAGATTTATCACCTTTGGATTTCTTTATGTGGGGTCATTTAAAAAGCAAAATCTATGCTACTCAGCCAACATTATTAGAAGACCTGCGACAAAGAATTGAGAATGAGTGCCTTCAAATTACTCCTCAGATATTGCAAAATGTGCGGCAACGTTTTAAGCAAAATCTCTATTATTGCATGGAGAGTCATGGTGGCCATTTTCAGCATTTACTTGCCTAACGGCATTTTTAAGTTACTTTGCTGCCAATTGTATTGATCCCCACTACTGGTGATGTATTAGTTTTATTTAAGCTTTAAATCAATAAGTCTTCAAGACTACTGAACTGAAGTACATTAATTTTATATCATTTTAAAGGGAATTGAAAAACCTTCAAAATAAGGTATCATTCGACCCCCCTTTCCATTTAAGATTTTGAGGGTGGTGTGACGGCTGCACGTGCTAACGTGATTTTTTGCCAAACTTGTGTCCCCTTCGAAAACCAAATCGACGGGTCTGAACGTTTTTTTAAAAAAAAAACTGAGCTGCCAGTAAGTGCGTCTGTTTCGTTTTCGATGCGCCACCCTGTATTATGCTTAACTAGGTATATGCTTTTGCCCAAGGATCTGCTGCGATCACGACAACTATACTGGGTGACAAAAAAGGCAAACACCTGCATATGTTTATCCGATTTGAATAATTTTTGGCATATATGTTCGGTGTCCCTTACTGGTAAACTGATAAAATTTTCAGCTTAGCCCATTAACTGGCTGCAAAAGCTGATTCAGCAACTTTGTGAGTAAGAGCTGCTAAAGTCTGTAGAGGGTTTTGCAAATTCAAGAGCCTGCGACCTAGCATGTCAAAGACATGTTCAATTGGAGCTGGATCAGGCGATCCACCACAAAAACTTAACAGAAAAAACCTGACCATTTTATCACTAGTTGTTCATGGCAACATAAATCGATATGTAAAGAACTCTTGAATTCTAATAAACATATGTAGGTGTTTTCTTTTTTTGTCACTCAGTATATATAGAAAAAGCGGCTAGAATACATGAGAATTAATTTCATGTATCCCGCCATTGACTTCACTGCACAACTATTTCGTCGAAACCATCCCATCAAATATTTCACCCGTTATTACAAGATGACCCTAGTTACAAACACAATATATGAGTTGAACCATGATATAGCTAATCATCTATTATTGCAAGCACGTAAACAGTAGAGCGATTATACTCGTATTATCTGCGTAAAAAAATCCAAATGTCACCGCGTCACAGCATGGTGGCGTAGAAAGGTTGTTACGACTGATTTGCTTGTAACACTACCGATTTAAATTTAAGTATATGCTTTTTGTTATTTCAAGATTCAGTAGAAAAGGCTTGAAGACTGTTATAGGATGGACTAAGAAACAACGATTCAAAATCATAAAGATATTTTTAAGGTCCGAGGCTTGTTCATTTCATCGTCTATAACATTGATTCCCAAAGTGGTCTATATCGACCCCTAGGGGTCTATGACAACCTGCAAGGGGTCTACGTCAGCGAAAAAAAATTTGGGGTCCATGAAAGGAATATGGGGGTCCACGATAGTGGATTTCAACACATACACTGATAGTACCTAATTATTTACATCATACTATCTTATAATACCAAACATATACACATATTCATAAAAGTACCTATGAAGTAAAAAATTTATTATATATGTTTATAAAATTGTGTAAGTTGTAGGATGTTGGTATTCGCTTTGTGGTCGCAATACATTTTGAACTTGTAAAAACCTGAGAGTCGCAGTATCAGAGCTTCTCTACCTTGCACTGACTTGTTCAATTCGTCACTCTATACGTATAAATACGAATGTGGGACAAATACGTTTATTCGTTTCCTGAATCTTGAAAAGGAAAGTGCTAAGAAAATATTTAAAAAATATAAACAGATAGTATATCAAATTATAGTGAGTCAGTGTTATTTTGTTTGAGAGTGCTGGAGAAAAGTAAGTTACATTATTTTTTATTGAATTTTAGTTTTGTACTCGTAGTTAGCAAAGATAGATAAATTACACCAATCATGACTTTAGTTATTAGTAGTTCAATATTCAATCATGCAAAATTACACGTGTACTCCTCAATAGTTTCTTTCTGAAAGTTTTAGCAATCGGTAATATAACTACAGTGCAATCTCCGTAATTCGAGCTAATTGTTGCAAGAAGATGTTCGATTTATGGAATGTTTTCGGAAAAATCTAAAAATATTTTTAATATACAGCTGCTGGATTTTCTGTCTTATTTAAATAATTTAATTTTGCCCACAGATGACTGATGCCATGTCCGAATCTAAAAAGAAATGTAGACAGTACAGTGTTGATTATTTGAAATTTGGCTTCATTCCATCATTGCCGGACAAACAATCGCCTATGTGCCTTTTATGCAACAAAGTTTTGGGCAATGACGCTACGAAACTATCTAAACTGCAAGATCATCTGAGAAGATGGCACCCTGGTAAAACAGAGAAAGATTTGAAATACTTTCAAACACTCAAAGATAAATTTCAGAAGAGACCTACACTGGACAGAATGTTCGCTTCGACGTCACAAAGAAATGATGATGGTTTGCGGGCGTCTTACAATATCTCGTTACTTATAGCGAAATCCGGAAAACCGCATACTATCGGAGAGAAGTTAATTTTGCCAGCCGTTGAAGAGGTTTTAAAAACTGTTTTACACAAACCTGCAACTGATATCATTAAAAGAATTCGCTTAAGCAACAATACGTATTGGTGAAGTGAGTTCTGATATTGAAAGCTTCTTATGTAATTATTTGCAAACGACCCATTTCTCTATACAACTGGACGAGTCAACTTTACCTGATAATGCAGTACTATTATTGGCATATGTTCGTTTTATTATGAATCAAGGAATCTACGAAGAACTGCTCTTCGCAAGAACTTTGATAACCGACATTAAAGGTGAATCAATATTTCATGTTTTGAAGGATTACTTCATTGAAAAAGCAATTCCTTTATATAATATCAGTAGGTACAGATGGAGCACCTGCCATGGTTGGACGTTATCGTGGATTTATAAGCTATTTAAAACAAAATGTGTCAGGGGCGTCAGCAATACATTGCGTCATGCATCGACAACATTTAGTTGCTAAAAATTTGAGTGTTAGATTGCATGAATCACTTCATTTAGTCATTGATGCAGTAAACCGAATCCGAAGCAACGCGTTGAATACGCGGTTATTTGCGCAGTTGTGTGAAGTAAATGACGAACACTTTCATCAACTACTCCTTCACACTGAAGTACGCTGGCTGTCGAAAGGCTTATGTTTGACAAGATTTTTTGCACTTTTTGAGACTAAAAAAGTCCATCTTATCAGCGTTTCTTGCCAGAGTTAAACTAATGAAGCAAAATATTGGACGGGGCGAATTTTCTCAGTTCCCCAAGTTGTCACAGACAAGCTGCCAGGATGACGACGTTTCAACTTACGTTCAACATTCAAATGCCCTCTATTCAGATTTTGAG